TTGCTGTATTGTTCTGAGCAGAATCTATACCTCACAGATTTATAATAATCTATGAACTAAAAGAACCACTGTTCTAACATGACAGATAACTAAGAGGGCCCACCAACATCACAGAATTCCATCCACGGACTTCGATTATCTGCCCTATTCTCTACTTGCCACTAAAGACAAGTCTAAGTAAATGGGACTTACCAAGTTCTGTACCACTCACCACACAAACATGTGCTCCAGAGAGGAGGAAAAGACAGGTGTCATGTTCTACAGTGTTCCCACCCAAATCTGCCCACCTACCTTGGCCGCTCTTATCTAAAATGAGCACAGATGGGGCACCTGGGTGGCTCAGACAGTTAAGCGTCCAACTTCAGCTCGGGTCACAATCTCACGGCTCATGATTTCGAGCCTCATGTCAGGCTTTGTGCTGACAGCTCAGAGCCTGGAGCCTGCTTCAGATTCTGTGTCTCCCTTTCTCTCTGCCCCTCCCCTGCTCATGATCCGTCTCTCTCTCTCTCTCTCTCTCTCAAATAAACATTAAAAAGTAATAAAATAAAATAAAATCAGCACAAATATACCACTCACCAATCTAGAATGCAGTATTCTCAGAAGAGGAGCCTACGTGAGATGGACAAAGATAAAGTATTTCCACTTCCAAGGAACAGAGTAAAAGGAGGAGGGGAACACCAAGAGGTAAAGTTTGCAACCACATGAGACAGAAACAAGTCACACTCTCACCTCCATAATAGTTTTTCTCATCTCTTCCAGATGCACCTTATCAAACAAATTAAAGGAGTCAGACCCATTTTTCTCGCTTGGTCTTCCTTCCATGTATGTCATTTTCTGTGAGTACTGGTTTGCTTTTTAACTACCATTTTAAGGCACGGGCTCCAAGAACTGCCATTATTATTTAGAAGATATTACTCCTAACTACTTAAGGGCATGGCAGGGGAGGAAGAGATATACAGATATATATATAGTTATTTTTAGCTTATGTTTGTAATTTGCCACAAACATTTCTTTGCATTTGTCATTAATGGAAATGAATTTCTACTACCTGTATAAAATCTTAGAAAGCTTTAAAAAGAAGAGTCCTAGAAAGTTTAACATGGTACTCTGCCCAAGCGAGTCATAGATTCTAAACTGCAAAGGTACCAGTCTTCCACCAGTTAACTGAATTACCTGGACAACATCCCTCCACACTCCCCATGGCTGGCTGGACTTTGTTGCCTCTGCTAATATACACTCTCCAGAATCCTCAACAAGATCTCACATTAAATAATCTTTTCCTTTAGAGGCTCCCAACTGCCAATGCTTCCCCAAAGCATTAGTTGTGTTCCATGTGAGTATCCACACTACCCCATGTATGGCTCCCATGAATTTCAGCTTGCAACTTCAAGGCCAGTTGCAGAGACTCATTTATGCCTGGAAAGCACGATAAATATTACTTTGAAAATGATACTCATTGAAGTTGACATTTGCTCTGGAAGAGTTCACTGACAGCTTTGATATTTCAGATAAACCAGTGGAAGACTGAGTGGTAAGCATGTCTTCCAAGCAAGCACAGCAGGTGCTCAGAAAAATCCTATTAAGCACATTTAATATGAGTAATGAAAATGCTTGGTCTTTCTAGCCCTAGAAATTATTTTAGACTTGGAGAGGAAGGCAAGGCAAGAGGTGGCCTTTCATTCAACCATGAGTTGTTTCAGATTAGAAGCTGAAATAAGGTGTAAGAATATGGGTGATTTTATGCAAGTGGGGGAAAGCTATCAATTGCTAAGGATAAAGGTATTATATACGAGACCCTATAAATACCATAAAAATAACACGTCATAAAGGTGAGACCAAACTTTAAACTTAAAATTGTAAGTACGTCCTTTAATTGCTAGCCGTTGACCTCAGCAAGAAAAATCTAGACAAACATTATCAATAAACACAGCCTAGTTACCAAAAGCCTGATATCGCCTGCTAAATGCTACTCTTCCTATATTAAGATAAATGAAGATGAAATTACTATCCTTATCAGTGGAATGCAGAATTGGTTTTCCAGCAGTGGCTGAGGCCATGAATCGCTCCTACGCTCTCATTTCTTATGAGTGAGGACATAAATATTAAACAATTGGGCAAATTTGGGATGTTTTCTTCAGCCAACTTGAACAACCCTATCTGTAGTTCAACACTGAAGTGTGGACTTCATCAGCAACACGTTTTAATCCACTGAGCTAAAAAACAGTGACTCACTTATGATACTGAGATTGCTGCTTGCCCTTCCCGGTGCCTCAGAGGGAAACAAGATGACTGTTTCGAGCAAAGAAAAACATAAATATCAGCTGAAAAGATATACAAAATGCCTAAAGAAAAAAATCACACAGGCGATCAGCTGCAGAACTCAGGACTCCTATTTCCCAGCCCACATCTTTATTTTTTTTTCCATCCACATCTTTAGGTATGCCATGAAAACACAATATGCTCTAATTTTTATTTAAATTCAATAGGAGTTTACATATTCATTCCCTTGAACAGCTCTAATAATAGCTACTACTCACATAATAAACACTGTCAAAATACTAAATGCCTGGATACATTATGTCAACTTTCTCACCAATAGTGCTTGATACATAACTGTTACAAGCAGGCTATCTAGGATCCAGACATACTGAACAAGGAAACACAATCAAAAGTGACTTGTCCAGGGACACAGAGCCTAGTAACAGGCAGAGCTAAGACTAAACCCAGGTCTGCCTGGTTCCAAAGCAAGTGTTCTCTCCACTATACTACAGAGCACCTCCAAAGAATCTTCAAATATTAGTTGTTATGAAACCTTATGAAAATGGCTGCTTTTAGATAAAAATATATCTACAAGGTGCCATATATTTTAAATACCTTACCTCATCTTCTTACCAAATACAAAAATGTGACTTGTCCAAAGCCACAGACTAATAAATCCTAATCTGAGACTTAAAACTGTGGTCTGTTTAACTCCAGCTGATGTTCTTTTGACCATGACCTCGAAGAACTCAGAATGAACCCCCAAGTACTCAACAATTCAAGAGCGTGCCATTTTTAGAGGAAAATGCGACAGGCTGAGTATGGCTACAAGAAATTCGTACTGCCAAGAGTCTCACAGAATTTCAAAACTTGAAAAGCTCAGAGATCTTAGAGACGTATTCAAGCCCCATCATTTTGCAGATGAGAAAACCGAAGCTCAAAACGATGCAAAATGTCCTTGAAAAAGAAGGATTTGAAGCAACTGGGAGAACACTGCAAGTGCATTCCAGGTGAAGGGTGTATCCTGAAGAATAGTAAAGCGTAGAGGTCAAAAGGAGCATGCTGTGTGCTTGGATTATTATAAATAAAATGTACTCTGTGAGAAAGGAAACAAAAGGAATACAGCTGTCAAGTTGAGTGGTCAAAAGGCACAGCTTCTTTTATTTAAAAAGTTTAGAAAAAGTTTTTTAAACAAACTCTCCATTTTAGTCTATCATATACCCCTCTCATCATACTTACCCTATTTAACCTTACCTAATATTTGATAGGAACCTCAGTGCCATGGCCAAATTTTCTTGTAATTTTGTTTGCTCTCATCAATGTGCCTGTACTAGAGCATGAGAACATGGATTTACACATTCTTCTGGCCAATGTTTTCTCCCCCGAAATTTATTTTGCTTTCCCTTATTTTTTTCCACCCTCTGGTACGGAACACTCAAAGCCTCAAGCAAGATTAAACAAATCTCTGCATAAAACTCAGAGTTTGTAGTAGTTTTTATTTTACTCCAAAGAGTACCAACGAAACCACAACAACGCAAGGCAGCCTCAGACATTCTATTACAAACTGTGGTACTATCATTAATTAATATGATATAAAGAAACGGTGGTCACAGACCAAAAACTGAGTTCAACAGTCTTGAGTTTCTATAAAGAAAACTTTAATTAATAAGTTCTTCTCAAGGTAACAGTTTCACAGTAAAAAGTTTGTAAATATTTTAAATATTTAAGAAATTTTATTCTCTGATAACAGATGGTAAAAATAATGTATACATTTCATTGACTTATGCTGGTGGTGTAATAACAGAGGAAGAAAAATAAAAGATATAACATTCAGAAGTGAAACCGCTTCTGGCATACTTTCCAAAAAAAGAGAGAGTGAATCTCCAAATTCAGGTGCAGTAGAGAGTGTGTTAATGAAGTTAGTGCTGGTGTACTGACACCCTAGAGAAAAATCAAGTTGTCAGTTAATGTGTCAAGCACATGCGAGAACATTAAAAATTCCTCTGCGACGTCTGGTAGAGAACTGATTGTATTACTCCCAGCGGTCTGAAAAACTGCAAGCCTGTCTCAGGCCTTGTCAGGTTGGCAGACACTTGTCCTGAAGCCACTGGGTCCAGCCCAAAACTTAGGCGGCTGGCCACAGAGGAGGGAAAGAGAGTATCAAGTGAAAGCGAAGAAGGGAGAAGTCACCCCAGGCAGGTCAAGAGTCTGTGGGATGTGTGAGCTTGCGGCGACGGGCTCAGAGGGAGAGCACCAAACGACCGAGAGCAGGTAAAGGTCTCCTCAAAGACAATTCACCTTGAGAAAGGTAACGGAGGTAGTGCAAAACCAGAGTTGGGGTCCTGAACCGGGGGGGGGGGGGGGGGGGGGGGGGGGGGGGGGGGGGGGGGTGGCGAGTAAGACAAGCCCCATTTCGCAGAAGCGAAGACAGGGGTTGCAAATAAAGTCCCACTACTCGTGAGCAATAGTCAAACCCAGGCTGTGAGCCCCGGGAGGGTCTAATACAACGTGGCATCTCCCCCCCCCCAACTCCCTCCAGCACTTAGCACACAACCAGGAAATATCTCTGAATGAATGTCCCAAGTCTTGAAACTTCAAGCTTCTTTGCAGAGAACTCGGCTTCGGGCCGGACAACACTGGGGGCCGGGACGGGGGAAATCAGGCTGAGCAAGTCCCGGGAAGGTCGGAGGTTTGGGGTCCGAGTCCGGGTGCTGGCCCTCTGCCCACCCACTGTCACTCACCCGGATGCCCTTCACCACGGTGATGTTCTCATTCTCGTCCGCCTCGAAGGTGACCCGGCGGGTGCTGGAGGTCCCGCCCATGGCTACTGCTTCTGCCCCCACAGAGACCTAGAGCGGACGCACGAGCACTTCAGGGCCCACGCGCACACACGCGCGTGGACACGCCCGGACACCTTCCTTGCACGGCAGGAGCAAGGCCACGACCCCAAGAAGCAAGGAGAAGGCCCCGGTCCCGAACTCCCGCCTCCTCCGGTCACGCTCCACAACAAAAAGGCCTCCGGTTGGTCGGAGATACAAACGTCCCGCCTCTACTCGGGAGAGGCTCTCGGATTGGTTGGACCAGACCCGGATGCTATGGCAACAAGTTCTGTTTGACAAGGTTTCCGGTGCCCCTGGGTGGAACTGGGAATTGTAGTCTCCATCTGGTGCGATGGTTGCTGGGACATTCCCGCCTCAGACCTGGGCGCTAGGGGAGCATGGCATTCTGGGAGATGTGGTCTTGACTGCCCAAAAGGCTTCTAGCCTGGCAACTTTCGAGGAAGTTCATTTACCTAACAAAGTATTACCTTGAAAATACTATTCTAGAAACTTAGGTAGGTTAGTTAAAAGGTACAAACAGTATCTCTCCTAAAGGAACTCACAGTTTAATTAAGGAGATGCACTCTGCAAATGAAACCATTCCTAGATTCCTGACTCTAAAATCTCAAGGAAAATTTAACATTTATTTTAGTCTTAACCATAGAAAAGTAAAAATGAAAATAAAAAACTTGGCCTACGGCCCTACCTCATGGGATATATACTATATACTGCTTTGTTTACTTTTGTAAAATTAAATATGGTTTTCAAGTCTGCATGTGTGAAAACAAAGAGCATAAATTTATTGCACCAAGCATGCAGATCATTCACTTTCTTGTGTCTCCTTCTACTTCAGTTATATAAGCTAGTTAGACCATAATACAATGAGACGAAGAAAAGTTAAGTGATTGCTAAAAGTGACATGAATTCGTGGAAGAATTAAAACCACCTCAGAGGAAATCGAGATCATCTATTTTGAAAAGTTTCTAATTCAGACTTTCACCTCTATAAGACCAGTAAATAGTTTTTAAGTAATGTACAACATATTTAAAATTATTTTTTGTGTGGTGTCTACATGACTCAGTCTGCTGAGCGTGGGACTCTTGATTTTGACTCAGGTCACCATCTTCTGGTTCATGGGACTGAGCCCGCAATGGACTTGCACTGGACATGGAACCTGCTTAAGATTCTCCCTCCTCTTCTCTCTGACCCTCCCTCCCTTAAAAGTTATTATTTGCTACTCTGTGACATGTAAGTTTAGTTATATTACCTTAGTCTTATGGAGGTCAATTTGGAAATAAGGCTAATGACAGGGATCCTCAGATTCCTTTCAACATTAAAAACAACCAACCAGCATGGCGTCCTCTTATTACGTAGGCATTCAAAAATCCGCAGTAACTCTTTTTAAGTTTTAGTCATCTCTACACCAAATGTGGGGTTCAAACTCACAACCCCAAAATCAAGAGTTGCATGCTTCCCTTACTGAACCGGCCAGGCACCCCTTAAACTGCAATAACATTTTCAAGTTTCAATTACATGCTGATTTATTACTGTAGGAATCTTTAGAGCCGAGACTATGTCTTTTTCATCTCTGTATCCCTAGTCAGTAGCAGAGTAGTGAATTTATCCTATGTCATCATTTTTAAAATTTTCAATATATATATTTCCAAATTATATTATGCTACTCTGCAGTTTTGAGACTCCATGTTACTTTGTACTTTTCCTCAAGTTGTATGATATGTTTTAACCTTCCTTTTACAGTGAGCTAAAAATACCAGAGATTATGTTTTCCCTTTCATTGGCAAGTTCCTTCCACACTCTCCTCAGTTGTTACCCCAATATATAGTACCTACTGGAGGTTCTACATAAAGCAGATGTTCAATAAATTCTTATCCAAATTAATAATTACAGAAGTTTAAGGAAAGAATAGAGATTTGAAGGACCACTAGTTATCTTGGAACTATGTCCTTAGACTACTGAACGAATTCTTTCAATGAAATAAAGATGCAGAGGCCTAAGTATGAGACATAATGTATTGCCATCCCTTTTTATGATATAGAAACATGTAACTGATCTTATTAGTCAATCTAAAAATACTTTGGAATTCACAATCCATTCCAACCAACATTTTTTTAAAAACTTGAATTTAAAAAAAGATATGTCTTATTCTCGGAAAAATGCCTACTATAATAATATTGGTCTCTCTGTGTCAATTTCAAGGCCAAACCATGCCTACAGTCCCTTCTAAAGATAATTTCCTGAGCTACCCAAAACCTGTGATCTCCCTTTCTCTCTGGCCACAGTTTATTAGTGATCATGTAACCCAAAGGTGCCATTTAATTGCCCAGAGACCTATGAGCTAAAATGCAAAGCTTTAGCCAAACAAAAATAACAGCTAACACTTTAGCCACTCAGACTCTATTTAGTCTTTTTCCCTTTCCTCTATCTCTCGGTTGCTTTCTCAAATTTAAACTTGAAATTTCAGAGCATACAAAAAGATAGGAAAGAGAAAAGCTCTGATTCTGAGTCAGAACTCGGAGGTATCACAGTAAGCTAAAGATAGGGGAGCAGAAACTGTAAGAACAATACAAGGTATCCAGATTGGAAAAGAAGTAAAACTATCTCTATTCACAGATGACATGATCTTATAAGTACAAAATTCACAAGAAATCCACTAAAAAAAAAGTATTAGAACTAATTTTAAAAATTCAGCAAGATTGCATGATACGAGATCAACATACAAAAATCATTTATATTTCTATACGCTAGCAATCAACAAGCCAGGAATGAAATTAAGAAAACAATTTCATTTGTAACAGCAGCAAAAACAATTCAAATGCCCGTAGACTGATGAGTGGGTAAACAAAATGTGGTATATCCAGAAAATGGAATATTATTCAACAATAAAAAGTAATAAAGTGCTGATCTATGCAATAATTTGGATGAACCCCAAGAACATTATGCCAACAGAAAGAATTCAGACATTAAAGTCAACTTCTTATATGACTCCATTTGAATGTAATGTCCAGAATAGGCAAACTCATAGTGGGGAAAATAGTAGATTAGGCTTGCCATGGGCTAGGAGGGGGTAAGATGGAGAGTGACTTCTAGTTGGAACAAACTTTCTTTGGCGGAGGACAGGGGCAGTGATAAAAATGTTCTAAAATTAGATTATGGTGATGTTTGCAGAACTCTTAAATATACTCTCATGGACTTGTATACTCCAAATGGATGAACTATACAATATGTAAGCTCCAAACCAATAATTTATAGCTATCAAATATGACAGAAATTTATTTATCATTCACTAAAGTCTAAAATAGGCTTTTTAGGGGAGCCTGGGTGGCTTAGTCGGTTAAGTGTCCGACTTTCGTTTAGGTCATGATCTCGCAGTTCGTGGGTTCGAGCCCCGCGTCGGGCTCTGAGCTGACTGCCAGCTCAGAGCCTGGAGCCTGTTTCAGTCTGTGACTCCCTCTCTCTCTGACCCTCCCCTGCTCACGCTGTCTCTCTCTCTCTCTCTCCTAGAAATAAATAAAACATTAAAAAAAATAAATAAATAAAATAAAATAAAATATGCTTTTTAAAGAAAAAGGGAAGAAAACAAAAGAAACTCTGAGAAGCTTCAAAGTACTGAAAAAGAAGCCAATCAGAAGAGATACTAAATTAATTAGACCTTCCAGGAATTGTTGAGTCCTACACATAGCATGGGGGTACTGGGGGTAGAGACCCACAACTCCAGAAGCTTCCAAAGTTCCCTAGGATTCAGAAAGGTCTCCAAACTGCAGTTTTTTACAAGGACTGGACCCTTCAAGGCTCCTAGTCTTATGCTTCCTAGGCTCTGAGGTACACGCGCCCTTACCAAAGAATCTTTGCAATCCTAGGAGGCCTACCTAAATATTTACAACAATAATAATACAATGTAGTATTGTCTTCAATCTTCGCAAGGAGACCAGCACTCTAAGTAAAAACACTGCCTGTCAACAGTTTATGTTGATGCAGAACAGAGAACTGGGCAGTACTTTGATTGTTCACAGCTCTTAGCTGGGCCAGCAAGCAACGTTACTTTCCAATTCCTTCATCCTGACTGACTTCTTACTTTCCCACCATCTCAAACCTTTGGAATTAATGCTCCAAATAAAGAAAACAAACAAATAAATAAATGCTTCTGCTGTCAAAATTCTAGTCATCCCTAATTCCCTCCATCCCCTGGAAAAATAAAAATACACCTAGACTTCCAAATCTCTCAAATAAAATTCCAGAAGTCTCAAGTTAGGAAGAAGGTTTGCACTGCATATTCTTGATTTTCCAATTCCAACTTTAAACACAAAGTTGCAAAAGCAAAATCCTGGTGATCCCTCTTCTGCCACGTTTCTTCACACATCACTTGACGGTCCCTGATAGACTACTTGGGAATGTAGGAAGAAGTGTGTGAAAGGAGAGGTAAAAAAAGAAAGCAAGAAAGCAAGGAAGGAAGGAAGGAAGGAAGGAAGGAAGGAAGGAAGGAAGGAAGGAAGGAAAAGAAAAGAAAGAAAATGATTTGGCATGATGATATATCAGGAAGGAGAGAGACCTACTCCTGGTCCTAAACCAGAATCACTAATGACTGTGTGGTTTATCATAGCCTCTCCCCAGCATTTCTGAGTAGCATTTCAGGGGCACAGGAGAACAAGTAGATTCTATGACCTGTGCTGAAATAGAAGATACATATAATGATACTGTTTTCTGAGCTAAAAATTGGAGCACATATTCTATTATTTGTGTACTTATAGAGACAATTAAATCAGCCATTGAAATCAGGATCATCCTAGAAAATCTGGGACATATAGTTGCCATAGTTATAGCAAACCAATTAAAATCACTGAAAAGTGCTTCTTATGTAGTGCAGACAATCAATGTAAAAACATCCTGAAAATATGGACTAAGACTTATTCAGCAAGCCAGAACAGGACATTAAAGCTTTCCCCACCAATTATTGTATGTAGAATCATAAAAACAATGAAGCCCTAAACCAGTGGTTGTGTGTGTGTGTGTGTGTGTGTGTGTGCATGTGCGTGCACAAGTGTGTTTATGTGACATATTTCAAAAACAAGAATTTTGGGCAGCATACTTGAAGAGATTAGAAACCCAAAATACCATGAAACAAGTCAGCAATAATTACAAGGTA